TTTCTATTTTATGATACTTGTTTTATAGCATTATGGCTCAAAATCCTGTTGCACTGTTATGAAAAAAGGCGTAAATTTTTGAGGCGATTGGCTGTAAGTTCAGAAATCTCCATAAGCATTATCTGTTGCATAGTGAGTTGTGTAATTTATCATGTAACAGATAATCCAGGGATTAAGGAATTTTAAAACAATTTAAGGGTAATCTAGACAAACCATTTGTTCTTCTCCCCTTTATGCTCCTCGGTGTTGAATGAACATGGATCTCATCAGAGTACTGTCAGCATCTAACACTCCACTTCTTTTTCCTTTATGCAGTCAGTCAACTCTGCAGAGGTGGATCTTTTTTCCTTTTTTGTAATTTTTCTGCACCATCCACAGATACGCAGTACCTTGCCTGATAGAGGCCCATATGGGCCAGATGGGAACATTTGTTTGTGATTTTTCTAGTGGCGTCATAAAGGTATTACCTGCCCTTGGCCTTTTTGATGCTGACGTACGTTTTGCATTATCTAGATGGCAGGAAAAAAACCAATATCAGGTGCATGCAAGGGAACACATTCTCCGTCTGGATGAGCCCTGATATTCCAGAACGCCAAATCCGTGGCCCACAGACCTAATCTGTTTAGCCAGAATTAGGGTTGTGGCAGATCCCCCCACCCCCAAGAAGCATCTCCTCTGAGCATGCCTGAAAGTTTCAGCAACTCAGTTTGTTGAATGAATTGATTAAACCTGTCTTTTAATCTACTGAAAGCAATTGTAATTGGGCAGTTTTTTTTTTGAAAAAAAAGTTTAATTACTCTCTCTTAAAGTCTACAGATGGCAGATACTGCTTTGGATAAAACATTCCCCTTTGCTTGAAACCTCAAGGAAAAGCTTCTTCTAAGATAGCACATACAGTACTTATATGTTTTCTAAAATGTATTTAGTAACCTTTTAATACCAAAGCCAACATACTTGTTTCCATTCAGAATGGCTATTGGACATTTACAAAATTTTAATTAATCAAACCTTATGTAAATGGAATCAGTTAATATAAAGTCAATTTGATTAATTAATATTTAATCTTGTGACAGCTTTATTGTGTTTGTCTGAGTGTTCACATACATACTAGAAGTTTTTGGGATGTCCAGCTGTCTCCCAAATCTTCAGAAGTCAAGGCTGTGGTCTTATGTAGAATTATCTGTGAGTAATTACAGTGAACATCATAGTACTTACTTCTGAGTAAGCTTCCACAAGATTGGGCTGTAAGTATTTGGACAGAGGAGAGCATTATCTTAAGTGGTGTAGAGACAGGATCTCTGAGGTTCCTCTCACACAATGCTGTACATTAGCTGCAAAAGTTCCTTGTGGTTAAGGAAAGACCATAGCTCAACGGAGGGCATGTGCTTTGCATGCCGAGAACCTGAATCACAGTCTCTGCAGGTAGAACTGAGAAAGTCTGAAACCCAAGTGGTAAAACGGTGTTTCCAAGTCGGTATATTGTAATGTCTCAGTTTCTCTCTTCTGTTTAGGGTAAGGGTTCCTAACCTTGAGTCCCCAAATGTTCGTGGACTGCAATTCCCCGAAAGCCTTCAACACTAGCTGTGCTGGCCAAGATTTCTGGGAGTTGTCATCCAAGGTTGGGAATCACTGGCTTTTTGGGGTGACAGAGACCACCCATGCAGTACCTGGTTATACCAGTATGAGATCACTTTGACTTCCATCCTCTGGAACCTTGGTATTTGCTGTTTGGTGAAGTTCTTAGAATTCTCTACTGAGTTCAGGGAAGGGCACCAGCTCTCTCTAGCACAGCATCCAAAATCTTTCCCAAAACTACAGCATCCCAGATTCCTCAGGAATGGAGCCTTGAGAAGTGAAAATAGTACAGGCTGCTAAACTGTGCAGGGTAGAGTAGGTGCAGTTGTCCAGCTGCCAAGCACTGATGGGCTTGCTTACCCCCCCTCCCTTTCCCTGCTGCCTTCCGCTCCTCCACACGAATCCAGGTTGTTCTGGTCAAGCGTTTTATGAGTTGCCTTGCCTCATCAACTTCATGAAATTTACCAAGGTCTGTGTAAGGGAAAATACATAACAATATGCAAACCGAGTGTGTAACACTTTTAGATTGGTAATTTTGGGAGCCTTGTGTCTGGAACCACCTCCAGGGGCCAAACACTTCTGAGTTTCGCTGAAGCATAGAACTCTCCACTTTTTAAATGAATAGTTCAAAGCACACCGGGGGGGGGGGGGGG